TGAGGTTGGTCCAGGATCGGACATTGTTTCGTTCTGCTGTACATGGGGTCGCTATGAGTCGGTTCCGACTCGAAGGCACCTGACAACAACAGCATGACTGGAAACAGGGATTCTGGGATGAGTAAGTCCTGCTCTGTTGGAAAATGGTCTGGGGGAACAGAAATTCCCTCATCCTGTCGATACTAAAAAGTCCTTTTTGTTAAGTGCCGTCAAGTTGATTCCGACACATAGCGACCCTGTATAGGGTTTCCGAGGAGCGGGTGGTGAGCTTGAACCACCAACCTTGCAGTTCAAACAACTTTGCAGCCTGACACATTAGTCCACAGTGCCACACCTTATATAAATCTTACCTAGAATCTATGTTATACAATTAAAAGCAGCTAGAAGCAGACTTGCGGACTTCCATTCCCTTCACTCATTTTTGTCGTGCACCCATTCCTCACAGCTCGGTTAGGTTCCAAACACTAGGTCGTTATGTAAACATCGACATCACCGGAAAATAGAAGATGACTACATCATTGCCCAACTCAAAGCTGAATGTTGTCAAGAGGATTATGACTCAGCAACTCTATAGGCCAGAGTAGAACTGCTCAGTGTTTCCAAGGCTCTAAGTCTTCATGGAAGCAGACTGTCATGTCCTTCTCCCATAGAGGCTGGTGGGTTTGAACTGCCGATCTTTCTATTTGCAATGGCGTGTTTAACTGTTGTACCACCAGGGCTATTTGCATCATTACCTCATTGCCAAATTACATCATGATGTAACTGACACACTGAGATGCACGGCCCAGCTAGGTTTACCTTGCTTTGCAGCTCAGTTGTTTGTTCTGTTGCACATACGTCATCAGTGCACATAACAGCCAGATTTTTTTCTTTCACTATGGTTGTACATGTGAAATGTTAGATACAAAAACTAATGTAAGGGGGCTGGTAAGTTGATGAGTTAGAAACAGGTGGTTTGAAGACTTAATACCTTGTTTGTTGTTGACTCACAGTAACCCTGCATACGGTTTCCATGCAAAGGCTGGTGTGTTTGAACTGCCGACCATGTGGTTCAAACAGATCTTGCCATCCAGTGCTTTAAAACAGAATACACTAATGAGTCTCAATACATACTTTGTACTATATTTAAAATTAATCATAGGCATAAATATAAACCCTAAAATAGCAGCATTGATGGACTCAAATGTGGCAACAGTAGTGAGGTTGGGCAATGTTTCATTCTGCTGTGCGTAAGGTCACTATGAATCAGTATGGACTGAATGGCACCTAACAACAACAAACAAAGGCAAAAGTGACTGGCTAACAAGCTTTCAAGAGGGCGCCTAGATCCAGAGGGTGCGGAGGAAGGTAGAATCTCCACTGAGTAGTATCCATCTGTCTGGGAGGGGCTAATGAAAGGAGATGGGGATAGGTCCCCTCTGGTACAATGGTGAATAATTGTTATCAGGACGGACTGTAAGGGTTGGAAATGTAAAGGTGGCCGTTTTGCAGCAAAAGGAGGGGAGTGACTGACTATGCAGTCCAGGAGCCGAGGTCACTGGAACCATCAAGGGAGAAGAGTGGAGTGTGAGACCCTACCCAAAGAAACAGTGATGCCAGAGATGGAGGCAGAGACGATGACATGGAGAGATGGAGCAGTTGGGGACTGGCTTGTAGTGTCTACCCTTTGGTTGGCTGATGATGCATGGAGGGGATTGTAACCAACCATGGCAATGAAATGATATACGATAGGATGAATGTAAAGCTAATGTTGTCCCATGTGAACGATCACATAATTCACAATAAAACATTTAAAAAAAAAAAAAAAAAAAAACTTCTGGATGATAACAGTAGAAAAATCTTGTGTCTTTGGTTAAGAAAATACTTCTTTGATGCGACACCAAAACACAATCAATAAAAGACCAAACCGATTAACTTTTATGAAAATTAACAACTCTGCTCTTCGAAAGACACTATTGTGAAAAGGCATCAATTAGAAGAAAGTATTTGTAAGCTGCATATATCTAACAATGAGTTTGCATCCAGAATCTACTGCATATATCTAACAATGAGTTTGCATCCAGAATCTATGAAGATCTTTCAAAACTCAGTTATAAGAAAAGACACCACCCAATTAAAAGACTAGGGAGAGACTTGAACAGATAGTCACCAAAAATACAGTGGGGCAAATAAACAAAACGATGCTTTTCATTAATCGTTAAGTGCAGTCGAGTTGGTTCCAACTCATAGTGACCCTGTATATGGTTTTCAAGGAGCAGCTGGTTAGGTGTGTTGCTGTTAGCAGTCCAGAGCTTATTCTAAAGCAGCATCACAACAGGACTCTAGGGAATGCAAATCAAAACCACAATGAGGCAGTCATCAGAATGGGTGAGTATACACTAAAAAAAGGTTAACTTCTATGGTATACAAATTTAACCTTAACAAAAAACAAAACAAAACATTTTTTGTTAGGTACTGCTGAGTCAGTTCTGACTCATAGCGACTGTATGCACAACAGAACTCACAACTGTTGTTATATTTGAGTACACTGTTGTACCCACCATGCTGATATATGTTGTTGGCAGTCTTCCTCTTTTCCACTTTGCCAAGCATGATGTACTTCTTCAGGGATTGGTCCCTCCTGATAACATGTCCAATGTATGCGAGACAAAATCTTCCAACCTGACATACAAGGCGCAATCTGGCTGTACTTCTTGCAACACAGATTTGTGTTTTCCATGGTACTGTTAATATTCTTTTCCAACAACTGTAATTCAAATGCATTGATTCTTCTATGGTCTTCCTTATTGTCTAATTTTTACATGCATATTGTTGTTGAGTGCCATCAAGTCAGTTCCAACTTAGAGTGATCTTGAACAGGGTTTCCAAGGAGCGGCTGGTGAGTTTGAACCACCAACCTTATGGTTCAAACTGACCTTGTGAACGAGTGCTCATCCTACAGCGCCACACATCACGTGCATATTAAGTGATGGGAAATTCCATGGCTTGGGCTAAAGTGCACATTTAGTCCTCAAACTGATCTCTTTATTCTTGAACACTTTAAAGAGGTCTTTTGCAGCAGATTTATGTAATGCAGCCCGTCTTCGGCATAAAGCAGACTAAATTACATAAAGATGGTCACTAAAATCTCTAACGGCAACCTAAGTGAACATGACAACCATGACTGAGTATCTATAGCCACTAAAATCCCCTTTCTCCCCTCAAACATAGTGGCATGAGAAAATATGTTATGCTTTTTGGGTAAAAACAGCTTACAAAACTACATACAAACTGGTGTAATGAACACAAAACATATAAACATATGGGTATTTATGCATGTGGCAGAGAGAACCCATTCTAGTCCTGCCTGCTTCTTTTCTTCTTCTTTCTCCGGGTTTTACTGACCTGCTTCAATCCTAAGACCTTCTAAGCAGTACTGTCCACCCAGCAGAACACACTGGTTATGGGGAACAAAAGTAAGCATAACACAGCCAAGTCTGACAAGAGGACAGGTGACCCCGGGTGGTGAGAATTAGTGTGGGGAGGTCACCAAGTTAGGAAACTAAAAATCAAGCCAGCATTTTATTTTAAAAAGTTTTATTCTGCAGATTTAGAAATTTGAGATTTTTAATAACCGCAAAAGAAGTTCAGTCACACCTAATGATTGATGAACAGAATGTAGTGGCGTATTATCTAAACAGAAATTGTGCTGATGTGCCATAATAATAAATTGTCTATTAGTAAAAAAATACACTTTAGGGCACAGCATTGTATCACAAATTACAGTAGGGATACTTTGCAAGAATTTAATCAAACTAGAGAATTCTGAGTAACTGTTATTTTTTAAATGCAGCACTTAAAAATGTAACAACTCTGTGCACTCTTTTTCTTTAAAAAATGACCTTGTGTGTCATAGAAATGCTGCTTTATTGCTGCAGAGGTCAAAGTTCAAGGCTCAAGAGGTACAGGAGCGAATACAAAGGTAGCCTTAAGAAACTTGGTTTTGTTTATGTATAAAAAAGGTAAAGTTTATAAAAGTTAATTTACAAACCAAGAACAAAAGTGGTATGCACGCATTATGTACAAGCATCCTTAACATATGGAAATTTTCAAATGCACAGCCAAAAAAACCAGAAAACAACCACTATCTCCTGCAAAAATTAAAACACTAAAAACAAAAACCTCCCTAAATCCACTATTATTTTCTTCTGGGTGATTACACATTTCTGAAACCACCAAATTCACAATTAATCACTCAAATCTTTTTCATGATACAGTATTTAGATGTGCACAAAAGTCATAAAATCTAGTAATACACAGAGAATGATGTAAGCATTAAAAACATGAGGGTAAGGCATTCTTGCTGGTTAGTATGTCTGTGGTGATATGGTTAATTCATAGTCCAAAGAGGCCACAAAACCAGTCTCACATGCTTTGGTGTCCTTCCCTAAGAAAAATGTGTTTCCATATACAGTAATTGTCTTCACTTGACCAAAAAGTAAAAAAAAGAGAGTTGTAAATCCTCCTTGCTATACATTTGTTATATCCACCACACTGGGATATATTCCAGGTGCATTTTAAAACTGTGTGCATACTACGTCATGCATAATAAACTGTGTAGCCAGGTTAGGGTCATCATGAAGTTTAAAACAGTACACTTTGGAAAGAACAGAACTCAACTGCACCCTATTTACTGGCTGGTAATTTAACGGACATCAATAAGTGAAGTTAGCAGTGACCATAAAAAGAAGTACAAAATTCATTACAAAGCAAAACATCTTTGACACTCTAGCCAATGCCATCAACAGCTCTTCAATCACAAACATGCAGTTTGTAGCATGTTTTCTGACCACAGTTCAGTGGCATGCTCACTTCAGTTCAAACAAAATGCTTCATAGTAAGAAACTGCAGTATCATTTCTAAGGAAAGTATAATACTTGATAGAGTGGTTCCATTTTGATTTAGTAAGTTTAACCCAGTTTCACATTAATTAATTAGTTAAAAGTTCTATATTTTATGAATTAAAAGTGGTCAATCAGGACAGAAACACAGTTTGCTCCAACAAGATAATTTGGATCTCCAGGAAGACACTTGTTTTGCCAGGTTTTAGGATCACCTGTGAGAGAGAGAAAAAAAGTTGACATCATTTACAGTTGGTCAAGTTGCTGTCTACAGGGCAAACAAACATATACATTTAAATTTAATTTTCTCCTATTATTTCAGTATAAAGCACTTAAAACTGTTAATGTTATATTTCAATGCAGACCCATTAGCATCTAATGATTTGAATATTTAAGATTTTTATTTTGTTCAGCTTGCTTTGAAGTTCATGCTCTTTAAAAAAAAAAAAAAAAAATGAATAAAAGTTGGGATGCCTCTAAGCCTGGGACAGTTTCAATGTGAACTTGAATCCACATAGTTGTTAACAGTGTTCTTTTAGTTTTGAAAAATTAGGGCCAAAATTGCATGATTATCACTTGAATTTGAAGACAACATGTCGCACTCAACTAGAAGGAAACAAATGAAACATCTAATGTTCTGTAGAAGGTCATGTGGACTCACTTCCTTCCCAAAAAATAGCACTAAGACTGGACAAGAGAAAAATCATTTAAGACTAGGCCAGAGCTCCTGGCTGTTAATAAATAAAATCCTCAGAGCTAAAACAGAAGGCTGAGACGGGTTCTGGCACTGGGGTTTTAACAAGCTCTTGGTAATTCAGATAGGCAGCTAGGTAGGAACCTTGGGAGGTAAATCCACGAGTCAGGTCCGACTCACGAATGCCCCCTGTGTGTCACAGTACAATGGCTCCACTGTTGTCTATGATCTTTTTAAAGCGCATTGTCAGGACTTTCTTCTCTGGTACCACTGGATGAGTTCAAACTTCTGATCTTTTTGCTAGAAGTCAAGTGTAAACTATTTGCAAGGCCCAGGGACCTTGGGCCCCTGGGAGTGAACCTTAATGTGAAGATACTGGGACGAGTGCATGTCTCTCTGGTATCCAGGGTACGGTGATAGTCAAAGCCATTGGCCCTTGTCTCCCCCCGTCCCCCAACACCCCCACCGAAGTACTAGTTCTCAACCAGAGTGAAGTTGCCCTGATGGAACATCTAGAGATACTTTTGCTTATAACATACTATATCAGTAGACAGAAGGCAGGGATAAATGCTGCTAAAACATTTACAGTGCACGTTGTTGTTGCTGTTAAGTGCTGTCAAGTTGGCTCCAACTCATAGTGACTCTGTATAGGGTTTCTGAAGAGCGCTGGTGAGTCTGAACCAATGACCTTGTAGTTCAAACCGACTTTGTGGTCCAATGCACCATCCTGCAGTCTACAACCCCGCTATCAACAGAGAGCTGTAGAATACACAATGGACTGCTAACCACAAGGTCGGCGGTTCAAACCCACCAGCTGCTCTTTGGAAACCCGATATAGGGTCGCTATGAGTCGGAACCCAATGGCGCACAAAGGCTGAGAAATTCTACTCAAAGTAAGCTAGATAACACCCAAGTGAACCTTGGACTTTAACAGTTTAAAAAAGTGATTTAATTGTACTGATGAAATACATATGAGCTTATTCAACACTCTAAATAATTATTCTTTTAGGCAATAAGATCCAGCAATGTTACTCTTTGGAAGTAAACAGACCTCAGGCTTCTTCCCAACATACTAATTCTTGTTTATATTAAGTCAGTAGTTATCAAAATCTATGATGACCTTTTGATTGAAAATTTATAGTAGCAGAACACTTTCTTTTCTGGTGAATGTACTCAAATTTAACACACACAAATCAAGTCGCTTCAATCTAACAAATTAACTTATGTTTTAGACCTAAAACATTAGAATTGGATAAATAACTTATGCTTCATTTAACATCTGAAAAAAAGTCACTTAAAATACAAGTAACTACACTAAATAGTTATATTTTAAGACCCCTGCTAGAATACCTTCAAAAAAAAAAAAAGGACAATCTGATATCATCCTACAATCTGACTTCCAGAATACACATTTTATTTTATATGGCAGTATTATTAATGCTAAGTCACCAATTCAAATTAGGCTAATAAAATGTTTTTCAGTAGAATCCCTGAGGAGATAGCTACTGTATTAAAACCCATTAATATCTTACAGGAAACTGGGTCTCATGAAAATAAGTAAATACATATTTGTATGCATATGTCTGTATTTCTTTTCCCTCTTGGGTCTGCTCTTATAATCAGTATACCACAAAATTTACTTTCATAATGTGTCAAAGTAAAACTGAGTAATGTTCCCTTGAATTACAAAAAAATTCAGAAATAGTATTTTAAATTCTTATTCTTCTAGATCAGGTTCTCTTAATCTATACCAAAAACATAATAACTGGTAACAGACTCAATCATTCAAGAAAATGAGAAGTATGAAAATACAATGTAAGTGTTGAAAATTACAATCTTAAGAGCAAAAAGGCATTTTAAAGTGTGTAATGGAAGTCATTTAGAGTTTTACATTGAAAATCCATGGCCAAGTATGATCACAGTGAAGTCTTTTACATTTCTCTGGTATTTATACCTTATAGATTACCAATACTCCTAATTCTGAAAATTTGGGCAGAATAAATACTTCTGTTAAATACTAACCTTTAATCAAATCATCAGTCTTTTTCAAAGGTAGAAACGACTCTACCTTTCCATATTCATTTCCAGTATGTACCATGAATGAATGTTAGAATGAATTTGAAAACACTAGTGATGTCTACGAGGCCACAGGAACAGAGGTAGAGATCTGCTAACCAACAGCACCAGCAGCAGCAACATCAGCCCAGGTCTTAATCAATGACAGTACCCAAAGCCCCAAAGGACAGAGTGAAGACAGCATACCCGACGAGGAGTTAGATGATTTTAGAGCAAAAGACCAACCGTCAGGAGTCATGGACGCACAGTGTGGTAAGCGCAGCTCCACTGGCTTCAGGAACTTGAGACCATGGGGCCCACACATCACTAACGGGCTCAGCAGTGTCTCACCTGAGAAATGAATGGAGATGAGAAAGTGAGATGGTAGGCCTCCTTCTAGTTCGAAGTTCTCCATACCCCACCTTCCCTTCTAGTTGGTTAAGTGTTAAAGCCAAATAGATAAGCTCTTTACAGCAACAATATTGAACATAAATGTAACCATTTATGTAACTTCAAGTTTTCTCATATTGAAATTAAAAAGAAATACATGAAATTGACCTTTTTATTTAATGGATATATCTGAAATCTTCATTTCAACTTGTAATCAGTATAAAATCAGTGTGGATTTTATACGTCCAGCAAGTTTTCATTGAAAAATAGTCATATTTCAAGTGCTAAACAGCCACAGGAAGCTAGTAGCTTCTACCATATTCTAACATAGGGTCTATAGTACAAAATATGTCCAAAGTATACTTTTTTAAATGTTACTTCTATCTTCTACTTTCAGTATTTTCTTTGCTACAGATATGGCTGACAATTAATTCATGGTCAATATAACCAGTCCTATTTTTTTTAATAAAAGATATTCCAAAATTACAGTACAGAATCTAATGTTAGTATTGGCAACACATAAGAACATGAGCTGATGTATTTTGATTAAAGATTCTAGAAAAAGCAACGGTAAAATGGTTCATTATAATATCCTGATGTATCTATAAAGACTACAAAGATAACAGAAGGCCCATCTTCTTGAAAAAGCTAAGGAACACATACTATAATATTCTCTAAGGATATTTCATTCACTCTGTTCAATACTTGCCCATGTTAGGTACACCAAGGTGATAAGAAAGAATGCACCTGTCTCAAGAGGCTTATGTTCTATCAGGTGACAGGCACACAAAGCAGTCTTTCTGTGAGGGCATTACCTTACCACCCTTCTAGAGAGGAAGAGCTGATTGACCCTAATGACAAATTTGTCCAGATTAAGCCAATATGTGAGGAAAGCCCAGTGGCCCAGCATATGGTCAACCTCCTACAGAAAGAAAGCAGTGTGGGTCCAGACTACCATGTCAATCTTGACCACCACCAAGGCTTAAATCCTGACTGCTCCCTTCACCACCGTCATAGCCATCTCCAGGGGCATGTTCCCCAACAGGACTCAAGAAATTTTGGCACAAATATTTGTTTGAGAAGCCCTCCCTGAAGGAAGGAAGCATGCTGTTCTTGTCATGTATGGAGGCAGGAAAGAGGGCATTAGAGGATCCTCTTAGATACTCATTACAAGAGTTTGAGAACTAGGCAGTAAAGCTAGCATATTTACCTTTTTCTTTATCTAAAGGTGGAAGGATGCTGTTGTCTCGGCAGACCTTGAAATAGATTTCCTGCTCAATTCCCTCAGGAATGGCTCCTTGCGGGATGATTATACTAACACCAGTTTCTATGGAACTCAACACTCCACCATTGCTGTTAAATACACCTCGGGCCGTGGCTACCACAGTGTGACCATCCTCATCTTCATCCTCTTCCACAGCTGAAGGACTAAGAGTTCAAAACTGGCAATAAGTAAATTCCTACTAATATACAAGAGTTTCATAAAGGCAGTTTCATTTTTATTTTTCCACACGATCCAAGTTACTTACTTCAAGAAGACAGTTTTTAGTGACAGATCTTATGCACAGAGATAATAGCATATTCTTCCCAGGAAAATCAACTTCATTTTGTAGGTCACTAACTCAATTTTACCTTTATTATTGATTTTCTGCAACTTGAATGTATAAAACTCGATTCCTTGCTTACCTAAAACAACTATTACTGTTGCTGTTAAGTACCACTGAAGTTGGTTCTGACTCAGAGTGACCCTGTATAGGGTTTGTGTGGAATGGCTGGATAAATCCAGTTGGCAACATGGTACCACATCAAAACTCCAACAACAATAGCTCACTGGTTTAAAGAAGCACATGGACATCCACGAATTGGCTTCTTAAAGCTAAAAAGGAGTCATGTTTTGATTGGTAGCAGTTTTCCCTCTTAAGTGACATCTAAAACAATGGTACAATTGATGGTATCTTAGACTTAAGAGAACATACTAATTAGGTTAGGCAACTCCCTAAAATTTTAGGTGTGCACACTGATTTGCTACCACAGGGAGGAAATTATTACTACAAGGGCAGGCACAGCTGTTGCTCAACAGACATCATTCCACCCTTTCTGACAAGGATTTCAGTTCTTTCTTCAGTTATGATGAATTTCCTCATTCACTCCCCAATAAACAAAGTCCCACGCTGGCAAAGGCAGGGCTTCCACAGTCCAAAAGGTAAACACTTTGGTATGGGTACATATAAAACACTCATGGGAAATGATAGTACATAAACATAGGACAAAAAAAATACAAAAAACAAAGGGGACATAGTACCAATAACTGATTCAAAGTGGGGACATTTGCACTTGTCAAGTGTCGTTGAGTTGGTTCCGACCCATAGCAACCCTATATAGGGTTTTCAAGGAGCAGCTGGTGAGTTTGAATCGCCAACCTTATGGCTCAAACCGGCCTTGGGGTTTAGTGCTTTATTCCACAGAGTCACACCAGGACTCCAGTGAGGACCTTAGTCACAGAGAATACTTGAAAAAAGTTTTGAGCCAGGTAGGCAGGAAAAGGGATCAGAAAAACAGTAACATAGCCTTTATGTAAAGGGAGTCCCAGTGTGGCACTGTAGGATAAACATGGTCAGTTTGAACCACAAGGTAAATGGTTCAAACCTACCAGTTGATCCTTAGAAACCCTATATAGGGTCTCTATGAGTCAGAACAGACTCAACAGCACTTAACAACAACAAAGGGTAGCCAAACCTCCACTCAACAAACATATCAAGACCAACGAGGATGAATACTTGTGATAATAGCACAGAGTGGAGGTCACCTGACACTAGTTACACCAGGTAGCCCTACACAGGAGGGTCCGCTGCTCCACACCTGATGACATGTGAGGTTTGAACTCAGGGATATAACAACCAGAGGACTGTCCTGGCAAGGTGCTCGATTCTACCTCCAAGTACTTCTGTGACCAGAACAGGTCTGATTCGTCACACTTGAATGACAAGATAGAAAAGAGAACAAGAAATATGACTCCAGATAGGACCTCTTAGGGCTGTGTGCTCGGTCATCTTACTATTAATTCCTGTTTTATAACAGCCATGTTGACGTTATTGTATCTTCAGTTCCATTTAGCATGACTGCTGAACAAATAGTGGATGAGGAACATAGGCAATTATGTTTCTGAGATAGTCTTCAAACACACCTCACTTGAAGCTCAAGTGGGAAGCTAAAATAGGTTAAGGCTATGGGTTCTGAGGCTAAATGACCTGAGTCACTAGATAAACAGCTCACTGCCATCCAACTGTTTTCAGTACAACGGGGGATACTGATAAAAGCTACCAACCATATGACGGAGGCTTCAAAAAGTTCATGGAAAAACTCCACTGTCTTCAAAGTCAATTTTCCCATGAACTTTTTGAATCCTCCTCATACATGACTGTTACATTTATTATGCAGTAACATTATCTCATTATCTTGCAAAACCTTCTTGGCAATGGCATTCTTTGTTCAGTTTACAGCTAGAGTTAAAATTATTATTCCAAAACCCAAACCACATAAACTACATCAAACTTACACAAGACAAATCACATAGCCAATATATGATAAGGCAAAACTCTTACCTCACAGGAACAGCTTTAGGCACTGTACTGATATTATTTACTTGATATTTAGGCTTATCTGCATGAATGGAGAAGGTTTCGACACCACTGTCAAACTCAGGAGGCTGTGCTGAACTGTGTGCTTTCAGAACAGTCTTTGGAGAAGTGGGGGTTTTTGAAGACAAGTCTGGTTTGTGTGCAGTTTCAGTGGGCAAAAGATTGTGATTAAATTTAGGACTTTCAAACTTGCGTTCAAATGGTCTGGCAGAACTTGTATAAGGTTTTGGTGTGAATCGATTGTATGCTGGAGTGACGACTTTATGAGTCTGTTCAGCCCCATTGACTGGAGCTTTGTCGAGGAAATTTTTCGGTGGATAGAAAGTAGACTGAGCAGCATCTTCCCTGTTTGATGGTCTGAATGTTGCTGGCTTATTCTGAGATGGAGGTGGGTCTGGTTTGGACACTAAAGAATTCTGAAAATCCAGTGACACTGAGTTACCTGAAAAACAAACATACATCAGTATTTAAAATACTTTCTGAAAGAAGTTTTAAAATCCCTCTGGTATCTGTCCAATCTCAACTTGCCCTAGCACCAAAGCCGATGCTAAGTTTGGGTTGCCATAGTCAGAGCATGGCTCTTAAACCTTCTTGATGTATGTGATGTAGAGACCATGGCCTCCAGAAACTGCTGAGTAATCCTCTACAACATTTAACACAAATCATGACAAACTCAACTACAGTTTAAAAAACAAAAACAAAAAAATTGTACTATGAAACTCAAGAATCAACATCCAGAAAGGAAGACCGCTTAAGGGAAATAAGACCCAATATATCCAGACTACACTCCCAGCTAAGGTTACTCAAGGTATAAGTAGATTTGTGTTATCCTTCAGTAACCCAGAAATTAATTGGAACTTAATCCAACAGCATTTTAGGAGGTTGTGGAACAATATACACTTGTCTGGGGATAT